TACCTGCAAATGAGTACTTTAATTTCAACCGTAATAACACAAGGGTTATCAATAGATTCAAACTCAATTTAATTCGCTCTAATCTTGATTGTAGGAAATATGACTTCTGCAATAGAGTAGTTAATGTCTGGAACGCTCCACCTGATCCTGTTGTTAGTCTCGCTAATCCCCATACCTTTTACCTAAAACTGTCTACCATGGACCTTTCATGTTTCTTAAGAGGTCCAGAAGGGGGCACGCATAAGCACACCAGCGTGCCTACCATCCCTGTCCTACTGTCCCCATTTATATGTAACAATTCTATGTGTTTATGGCTATGTTTTGCCTATTTATATCCTTTTAGTTGTGCCAATTTTTTTCATGTGTCCATGTCTATGTCTATACTGTTACTTGTTTCCTTGTACTTGTTGACAAACAAACAAACAAACAAACACATATACAGTATATATAGTACATAATGTATCTTTTTGTGTGTCTAGACACCCTCTATACTATGTAATATGTATGTACACATATGGCATATATACATAAGATTAAATAGTGCATTTTGGATGTTCTCTAGTAGTAAATAAGTAGAGAGGGATATTGTATCTTGTTGAGGCCTTTAAGGCGAATGGCCAGGAGGCAGGGCCGGGCATGGTGAGTGATGTCAAGTTGGCCATGCTCACCCAGTCATATGCCCACCCAGCTATGCCTACTCAGGTGGTCATTAGGACAGAGAACCAGTTGTTAAGTTATTTGAATCCCACCACTGACCTAACATAACAATTAATATGAAACTTTCCTATTATCATGTTTATCTTTTATGTAAGTTTAAAAGAGTTTTTAAAAGCATCACTGATCATTCATGTACCCTAGCCAGATTACTTTTGATCCCCTTCTGTAATATAATGATAAGGAATTAAGAGCACAAAAGGAATTTTGAGAGAGGGGGTGGGGGTGGAATAGTTAAGGCCCGGATAAATAGACAAAAGGGAAAGAAGATAGTTACCATATTAAAGATAAACACCAGTTGGCATTGTGAAATGTAAAACATGAATCCTGTTGAGAAGGACGAAGTTTTGTCCTTCCAACAAGGAACCCCTTTTATTCATATTCATCCATTCATAACTAGTATAATTAAATCAAGTTTTAAATGGTTCACTAACACTTTTATAAACAAATTTACCACAGAGCAAATGAGAAAGAAATAATGCAATATCTGTTACCCTTCCTGAAATATCACATTACCAGCAAAGAAGAATGAAATTGTATCACATTAATACAAGAAGGAAAAAACAGAAGAAGGTTCAACCTTCTTTTGGTACATCACTATAGAAAAAATGTAAATAAGATGCAGATAATAAATTCCTTCACAAATGAAAATACTTTCTTAATAAATGCGAATAATAAATGTCTTAATAACTTTTTGCAGTACATCAACTGGAAGTTAAAGTCCATCCATCTTAAAATTGTCAAGATTGAGAAACACTGTAATAGACAGCAATAGAAACAGCACTTAGATTTATATACTGCTTCACACTGCTTTACAGCTCTCTCTAAGCAGTTTACAGAGTCAGCCTATTGCCCCCAACAATCTGGGTCCTCGTTTTACCCACCTTGGAAGGATGGAAGGCTGAGTCAGCCTTGAGCCTGGTGAGATTTGAACTGCCAAACTGCTGGCACCCGGTAATCACACAAATAGCCTGCAGTACTGCACTCTAACCACTGCACCACCACAGCTCTTATTATAGATAATAAGTTCCTAAACAAATAGATGTGTAATCCACTTTACCTGAGGAATCTTGTAAATCCCTAAGATAGTAGCTATGTGGAGGGACATTTCTGAGTCAGTACCCCCAATGACAGCTGCCGGTATCTTCTTGCTGCACTTGTAGTTCAGAATAGTTGGCTTCTGATTAAAGAGCAAGTTCAGCGTGTTTTGATAAGCTATCTGGGCATCAAAGTGGCTATCATAGATATGAAATCCCAGCGTCCTATTGGGTAAGATCATGCTGTTTCCATTGATTTCATTCACTGCAAAAGCCAAGGCCAGGGTGTGCTGATATTTTTTCAGCATTACACTAAAGTAAAAGACACATTTTGAGTAAGCCATGAAGTTCAGTGTTGTGAACATTTGCATACTACTCCAGAAAATGGTACCCTATATTTACTGGTGGAGAACACTGGAGAATGAGAAACCTGACATTAGAATGAAGTTACCTTTAACTAGAGAATAGCTTGTTTGCTTGTAATGCAGTGTTTCCCAAACTTGACCCTTTGAAGATGTATGGACTTCAACTCCCAGAATTCCTCAACCAGGCATACTGGTTGGGGAATTCTGGGAATTGAAGCCCATGCATCTTAAAATAGCCAAGTTTGGGAAACACTGTTGTAATGGATCTATCCTTCTCCAATATTTCAACTGTCCTAATGTGTCCTTAGAAACAAATGCAATGTTTTACATTGCAACAGATATTGCACTAAATATCACTTCACTAACTTATACAGTGAAACTATTCAATGATGGATTGTTTTTCTTCTGGACCAGACCGAATCACATGTAATCCAACATGCTAGTCACAAGACAATTACTTGGTTCTGGCCTCTCAAAAGGTCAGAGAATTATGGAGAGATTTTCCTCCAATGATTTTTGAGTAGGAAGTCTCTGAATACAAATAATGCTATGCATATAACACCAAGGATTTAAGCAAAAGAAGATTGATCCAAAACTGAGGTAGGTTTTCCCACTTCACATAATCAAATCTAGCATGTTTTACTGACTGATTTGATCCTATCAGATGTTAAAGATCAGAACAAACTCAGAGCATACAAGGAGATCAGGCAAATATCATAGATTCATAGAGCTAGAAGAGAAGTTTAGATCACAATATCCAACTGCTTGCTCAGTACTGGAGCTTTAAGTTTAAGCGAAATAGTTGGGTTAAACCTAAGAGCGGTAAGATAGAAGTTGCAGAGATGAAAAATAACATGTTTGCCACATGTGTGTTGACTACTATTTCAAAATCTCCTATTTTCTATTACCAGAAGACCAGAATGAATGGATGAAGGACTACTAATTATCTGATTTCTAGAATCTATGTCATGTTGCTAAAAGCATATCAGTGGCACTGCCAGGAAATAGCCAAGTATTACAGAAATCAGTGAGGTTTTTCTTACATAGGTTCAAAATCACACTTGGATCTAGGGTGTGAGGTGAAATCTGCTCCTTCAGACAAGGAGAAAAACTGTGAAAGTATCCCACCAATTATCACATCACCTGGCTGAAAATATTGGTATTGCACTTTCAGAGACTCACAAATGGCACAAACTGCAGGAGATATCGCACAATCTGTTGGTTGCAGCAGCAGCAGCAGCAGCAGCAAATACACAAGAAGTCTCAGGGACAAGAAGGACCCTCTCATGCAGCAGGCAAAATGATTGTCCCTTAATTTAAGATATCCTACTCCTACTTTGATCATCATCATCCAGCTATTTAGTATGCCATGGTCTTTATGATTCTGAATCCTACCACTAAATGCATACACACTGATTTGCTGAATCCATGGATGGATGGATGGATGGATACATGTATACATACATACATACATACATACATACATACATACATACATACACTAATCCTCTCTTTGATCCATTCAGAAGTTACAGTATATACCTGTATGCAATTAGAGTGGAAAAATATTTTTTCTGCCTTGAGAGTAACGATGATTTCATAATTATCACCTTAGATAATAATCAGGTATGCATTTTCCAAAACACTGCAAAATTCCCAGAGGTTAATCCTCCTCCTTCTCTTTCTCCTTGGCCTTCATTCTTAGTTTGGGCCTAATAATGATTGTTTTGTAGATGATAAGTATTGGAGATGCTGAACAAAAGGAGAGCTACATATTTGATTTATTAGGAATGTAATCTAATAAATAGATATATATTAAATGTATTAATTGATTATATTTATTGGGAATATTTTTTTAGGAATACACATGTTATAAATTATCCTTATATCTAATTATTAGATTTGATTTACTGGAAATAAATTTATTAGGGATAAAAATCTAATAAATTGTTGTTACATCTATTATTTGATTAGATTTCTTAGATTGGATTTATTAGGAATATCTGTGTGTACATGTGTGTCTTCAAGTCAGTGTCAGCTAGAAGAATAATTTTGCAGAAAATATGCTATGCTTCTCAATACTTTTGTGATGGAAGGATGGAAAACAATAAAGTTTTCCATCTGAATATCTGATAAAAGACATATTTCCAAATTCCTACAGAGATTTAAAACCATGAATATGCTTTTCTTCCTCTACATTTTGTGTTTTATATTGTCAGGGTTCCAAGTAACACCCCCAACAAAAGAAGACTCTAAGGCTAGAAGTTCCTCAATGTTCCATTTTATTAGGGATGTCATATTGGCACATGTGGGAAAACCGAAATCTGAAAGCTTCCAGGTTTTCCCCATCCATAGGAAAGCCCAAGTCCCTGCCCAGTACCCACATGTCCATCACATGGCCCAATCAATGCACCGTCTCAACTAGAGATACCTCCCAGTCACACCACTCCAGGTGCAGGGCAAGATGTCCTTGACTCTCAGAGAAAGGAATGTTATTATGAATATATATATATATTTGTTTTCTCAGGTTTTCGCGGGTGTTTGTATGTAGGTCTTTGGTTATTCGGGTCTTCTCTCACGTAAAATTGAAAGTGTCTTGGCGACGTTTCGACGAAGTCTCATTCGTCATCTTCAGGCTGGTGTTCTCGGCCTGAAGATGACAAATGAGACTTCGTCGAAACATCGCCAAGACACTTCCAATTTTACGTGAGAGAAGACCCGAATAACCAAAGACCTACATATATATATATATATATATATATATATATATATATATATATATGTATGTATATATATGTATATATATATATATATATATATATGTGTATATATGTATATATGTATATATATATATATATATATATATATATATATATATATATATATATATATATATCCTGCTCCATACAATCCCCCCTCCCAGTTTCCCACAGTACTAAATGTGACAGGCCTGAGGATCCAATGCAAAAGATGGCTTCCAGGCCTGACATATGCTTTAAGTATTCTCCATATATTTTCCTCTTCCTTACATGAAAACTTTGTAAATACGTAAAAATATATTTGCTGCAAATGTGAGTAAATGATAGGACTGATTTTGTAGCAACTGTTCATATTATTAAATAACTAAACTAAGAATAATTGCTAGAAACATCGATCCAAGAAAATAGTACAATATTTGATTTAGAGAAAGTGCATGATAAACTAAATCAGCCTGAATTGTGGAAGGTTCTGCTTGAATATGACATTGAAATTTGGCTGCTGAATGAAACTTGGCTGCAGATATGCTAAAACGTATCCCAGAATTTATTGGATATTTTGAGAACAGTTCAAAACTTAGTAAGTAGTAACACACCTTTGGTTGCTTAATGTATTTATCAATAAATGTTAATAGCTTGCTGATGTAACTCATGCGATCTACAAAGTCTTACATGGCATGGGAGCAGGATATTTGTAGGTCCAACTTCCTCCAATTGTCTCTGCTTGCTCCATCAGCTCCGGCAGGAGTAGGATACTCTAGGTACTGTTTATTAAGGAGTGCTATCTAATAGTACCCAAGTAGTATGCCTTTTATGTAACTGAATCTTTATGTAACTGCGTCAACCTTTTCAAGTGAGCCAGGTCACGAATCTGATGGTGCAGGAATTCTAGGAATACTATTTTATTGTGATATGTTATAGAAACAGATAGTTGAAATCTAGTCCAAACAATCGACTTTCCCCATTTTAAGAGCATTGAGCTCAAGTTGGAGCTATTCTACATCTTTTCCTCACACATTCCACTTCCTCATGACTGATCAACATTTTATCTCTTCAACTTTCCTTTCAAGACCATGCTAAATTCTTCAAAATCAATGAATATTAGTAATATTTAGTTTTTTGTTTTTAGATGGTCCTTTGTGTTGAGTTCTGGTCTCATTACAATGATGTAGCATTTAGGGAAAAAGATAGATCCCAATATTCCTATACCAGAAGCCAAGATGGAGAAGATCTCCACAGCCACCATGTATTTTCCTTTGGTGCTCAGATACGTTGGGACAAAAGTCATCCACACGCTACAAAACACCAGCATGCTAAAAGCAATAAATTTGGCTTCATTAAAAGAGTCTGGCAGTTTTCGAGCAAAGAAAGCCACAATGTAGCTGATGAGAGCAAGAAATCCCATGTATCCTAAAATATAATAGAACATGTTGCCTGATCCTTCATTGCATTCAACTACAATCTCTTCTGGAAGAGAATGCATGTCCAAATTTGGGAAAGGAGGGCCAGTGCACAGCCACACTGTGCAAATACTTGCTTGAATGCAGGAACAACAGAGAATCAGAGAGTATGAAAATCTTTTCCCCACCCATTTTCTCATTTTTGATCCTGGCTTAGTAGCCATAAAAGCTAAAACCACTGTGATAGTTTTGGCCAAAACTGAAGAGACCGCAACTGAGAAGATGATCCCAAAAGCAATTTGGCGAAGAAGACAGGTCAGCAATTGGGGCTGACCAATGAACAGCAAGGAACAGAGGAAGCAGAGGAAGAGGGAGACAAGGAGAAGATAAGTGAGATTCCGGTTGTTAGCTTTGACAATGGGAGTATTCCGATGTTTTATGAAAATTCCAAGTACCACCACTGTGGTCACAGAAAATGATAGACCCAGAACTGTCGAAGTGATGCCCAAAGTTTCATTATAAGACAAGAAATTTAGATCCTTGGGAATGCACGTATTTTTTTCCTTGTTTGGATATTGTTCTTCTGGACAGTCTAAGCAGTCATCCATATCTGTGAAAATAGGTATTTCAGAATTCATAGCCGTATTTCAAATTTGCATACTTTTGTTTACTGACAAGTATTTATTAATCAAAACCATTCTATTCATAAAACATCAGTGGACAACTATGGTTTTTGGAACTGCAATGTGCAATAATTCTCATCATTCATTGGCTTCAGTCCTCCAAGGTAGACATGCTGGCAGATATACTCCAGCAACATTAACACCTATTCACATCTCTGTTAAATATACCTTTGTTCAATCTTGCTTTTGGAGAGCTGAACTAGAATGGAACTCTCATGAATAATGAGGATGACCTGATGAGTCCTGGTGGTGCAGTGGTTAGAATGCAGGGCTGCAGACTACTTCTGCTGACTGCTGGCTACCTTCAATTTGGCAGTTCGAATCTCACCAGGCTCAAGGTGGACTCAGCCTTCCATCCTTCTGAGGTTGGTAAAATGATTTGATTTGATTTGATTGAACTTCTATACCGCCCTTCTCCCAAAAGACTCAGGGCGGTGTACAGCCATATTAAAACACATATAAACTCACAAAATTTAAAAACAATTTAAAATGAATATATAAAATTTGGCCCACAAAGTTAAAAGCTAACAAACACCCAATTTAAAATTCATATCAAGCCAGCCCAGCCTGTTGGAACAAAAGAGTCTTAAGGGCGCGGGGAAAGGTATGCAGGTAAGCAGGTGAGGATCCAGATTGTTGGGAGGCAATAGGCTGATTCTGTAAAACACTTAGAGAGGGCTGCAAAGCACTGAGAAGTAGTATATAACTTTAAATGCTACTGCTATGTGTGTGAGATCTCTGCCTTTATGGATACACACAGTTGTACATACTGTACATAAATATAACAATATTTCCTACCTCTTTCATTTGAAAATTTTCTTGATGGACAAGTATTACAATCATAGCAACAAAATGGCTTTCCTTCCTTCCTTTTCTTTCTGGAGCCTGGTGGGCAATGATCATTGCACAGAGCAAGAGGTATAGTCTATTCATTAATGTGAGGGAGAGGGAGAAGGAGAAGGAGAAGGAGAAGGAGAAGGAGAAGGAGAAGGAGAGGGAGAGGGAGAGGGAGAGGGAGAGGGAGAGGGAGGGAGGGAGGGAGGGAGGGAGGGAGGGAGAGAGAGAGAGAGAGAGAGAGAGAGAGAGAGAGAGAGAGAGAGAGAGAGATTTTATTTCCTTGAATCCAACCATTTTCAGAAATCAGTACATGCATCATATACTTCTGAAAAATATTAGTTTTGTTTGTGTGTGTATTTGTGCAGATATGTACAAATATAAGAATCTTATCCAAAACAGCATGTATTATTGATGAACCTTACCTTTACTCAGAATAGGCTTTTTTCATCACTAATACATTGAAATAACCTACTGTATATAGAAATAGAAATAGAATAACAGAGTTGGAAGGGACCTTGGAGGTCTTCTAGTCCAACCCCATGCTTAGGCAGGAAACCCTTCAGACAAATGGTTATCCAACCTCTTTTTAAAAACTTCCAGTGTTGGAGGATTCCCAACTTCTGGAGGCAAGTTGTTCCACTGATTAATTGTTCTGTCAGGAAATTTCTCCTTAGTTCTAAGCTGCTTCTCTCCTTGATTAGTTTCCACCCATTGCTTCTTGTCCTACCCTCAGCTGCTTTGGACCATAGCTTGACTCCATCTTCTTTGAGGCAGCCCCTGAGATATTGGAACACTGCTGTCATCTCTCCCCTAGTCCTTGTTTTCATTAAACTAGACATACCCAGTTCCTGCAACCTTTCTTCATATGTTTTTCTTGCCTAAATGTAGAACTTATTATTATTATTATTATTATTATTATTATTATTATTATTATTATTATTATTATTAATTTTAATTATATGCCGCCCTTCTCCGGAGACTCAGGGCGGCTTACAATGTGCTCAGCAATAGCCTTCATACTTTTGTATATTTATACAAAGTCAGCTTATTGCTCCCACAACTGGGTCCTCAATTTACCTACCTTAGAAAGGATGGAAGGCTGAGTCAACCTTGAGCCTTGGCGAGATTCGAACCTGCAGTAATTTCAGGCAGCTGTCTTAATAACCAGCTTAATAACAGGGTGCCTTAGACCACTGTACTACCAAGGCTCACTTACTTCTTTCACCATTGAATTTCATTTTCTTAGATAGCGCCAACGTTCAAGTCTGTCAAGATCCTTCTGTATCTGAAGTCTATCTTCTGGAGTGTTGGCTATTCGTGCCAGTTTGGTGTTATCTGCAAATTTGATAGGTTCCCCATCTATCGCCTCATCGAAATCATTGGTGAAGATGTTGAAGAGTACTGGGCCTAACACAGAGCCTTAGGGTACTCCACTGCATACGTCCCTCCATGTAGATGCAGTTCCATTGAGGACCACACATTGAGTGTGGTTGGTCAGCCAGCTACGAATTCATCTGGTTGTGATTCTGTTTAACCCACATTTTAAAACTTTATCTAGTAGTAGGTTATGGTTTACTTTATCAAATGTCTTACTGAAGTCCAAGTAAATTATATCGATAATAATCCTCTGATCCACTAATTTTAATAATAATAATAATAATAATAATAATAATAATAATAATAATAATAATAATAATAAAATATTTTTGGCAGCTCAAGAACAAGCCCTAGCCACAAACTGCATGAAGGCAAAAATTCAACATGTTACCACCAACACCAAATGCCGCCTCTGCAATGAGAAAGATGAGACAGTCGACCACCTGATCAGTGGGTGCAGCAAAATTTCACAAACTGACTATCTACAACACCATGACTGTGTTGCTAAGATCATTCACTGGAAACTGTGCCAGAAGTTTGGATTTGAATACAGCAAAAACCACTGGGAACATCAGGTTGAGAAAGTTTTAGAGAATGAGAAACTCAAGATCTTGTGGGACTTTAGGATTCAGACTTACAGGCACTTGGTCCACAACACACTTGACATAACAATACTTGAAAAGAAAAAAGTATGGTTCATTGACATTGCAATACCTGGTGATGCACGGATTGAAGATAAGCAGCAAGAAAAAATCACAAAGTACCGGGATTTGCAAATTGAAGTTGAGCGACTGTGGAAAAAGAAATCGTGTGTTGTCCCGATTGTAATTGGAGCCCTTGGAGCAATACCCAGAGGGCTACCCTGCTATTTAGAAATTCTAAATTTGCCGGACTTGAACATTTTGATTCTACAACAAACCACCTTACTCAGAACAGCTTACATCCTCCGACGATACCTTAACAGTTCCTAGGTCCTTGGTTAGGACTCGAGCTGCTGAGCTATTAACCAGCCTCAAAGGCTGTGAATCTCACTAAAGATTAACCAATAATAATAAATGTCTTGTGGTTATTCTGAGTTGTTTGTATTTGATTTCAGGGCTGCTCATAGATAGAGTCAATATATACATTATATTATTACTGAAAGTCAGGGACCACTTCAGTTAAACCACCTAAATGACATCTAAATTCCTCCACAAGAATTAGTGTTTACTGGTCAGATGCTCTTTCTGATGCCACATGGTGTTCTCAATTGTCTTCCTGGCAATTATCATAACAATACTGGCAATCGTTAATTGCAGAAAAGGAGGCCATCTATTTTAATTTTCAAACTGGAAACTTCAGTTTGGTCCTACCTGGTTAAAATGGGCTGGCCATGTGATTTTTCTTTCATTGATGGAGAACCTTCTGCCTGATGGGGCTTGAGGATCCATTTGTCCCACTTTTACTTTCATGAAGGATTTGTTAGGGAAAGTAACCCAGTTGATGATGTCAAATCCATCTAGCAATTCACCCTTCTTGTCAAAAGACACCTTGTCTCCAGCACTGTTGTTAAAGGAGACTTGACTTAGGAAATGGTAAAGCTGGAATAAATGAAATTTTGGCAAGTATTATTACCAAAGTGGTGGAAAAAGTGAAAAACATTTGACTTGGAAAAAAGTTTTGATATTCTCTGAAGCTATTTAATTATTTTATCACTCCATTATTGGTAGTCCCATTATTTCCTTCCCCAATCAAATATTTCACTTCAGCTCAGTTTGAAAAGCATACGAAGAACTAGCAGGCAATGTATTTCAAATAAACAGACTAAATTTTCTTTTAGCATAGAAATATATTGATATACCTATGTCACTGATGGGAATGCAATTATTTCAGAGCCAAGGTTTACTATTTGCCAGAGGAATAGTACTATTGATACTATCTCTACTACCACTATTTCTATTGAATTAAATTTATATGTTGTCTAATTTCCAGTGACTCTGGGCAGTTTCCAAATGGTTATTAAGTACTGTAATCATGTATTTTTTTTTCTCCTATAACTTATTGTGCAATTTTTATTATTTACTTAAATTAGAATGCTCTGCAAAAGTCTGGATAAAATCCTAAATTCTGGATTTGGTAGCCTCCTGCATCTGCAAGAATACATCTCTCATTTCTTTCAAAACTTACAAAAATGATACTCTCAGAAAAACGTTAGTCCTTTTATTGCCATTGTGGAGTCTATTTACACGTATTTATCTCTGCGGCTTGCAGGTTGTCCTAGACTTATAACCATTCATTTAGTGATCTTTAAAAGTTACAATGGCACTAAAAGAATAACTTACAACTAGACCTTGCACTTATAGCTATTGCTGCATCCTTACAGTCATGTGATCAAATTTGATTGGTATGTAGTTACAATACCGTGTTTCCCTGAAAATAAGACCCTGTGTTATATTTTTTAGAACCCTGAAATAAGCGCTTGGTTTTATTGCCATGCGCTCAAAAGCCCGATTGGGCTTCTTATCAGGGGATGTCTTATTTTGGGGAAAACAGGTTAGTTGCAGTATCCTGGGTCCTTGTGATCACCATTTATGAACTTCCCATCCAGCTTTTGATAGCAAAGTCAATGGGAGAAGCTGGATTCACTTAATCACCATATAATTCACTCAACAACTACAATGACTCACTTAATAATCATGACAAAAAATAGGCAGGTCTCACTTAACAACCAATTTGCTTAGGCATGGAAATGTTGGTCCCAATTGTAATCATAAGTCAAGGACCACTCATATACCCACTGTCCTTCCTTCTGTGCATCTTCTCTGGGAATTCTTAGTTAGGCAGTATATACGGAATGAGAATCCTTATATAAGTGAAGGCAGTAATATTAACAATAACAATGATGCATTTTAAAAATCTGCCTTTTAGATGCAACATTACCTGAAAATACTGTGATTTAGAAGTCCTTGGATGATCTCTATCCAACACTGCTCCGTATTTCCTTCTGGATGAATAAAAGGCATGCAAAGCATGTGCCACAGCATAGACAGCATTATAAACACTGTAGCTTTGACTGGTCATGCTCATTTCAAAAAAAGAATGCGGAAGGCTTTCCAGTCTCTCATTGCCAGTACAGCTTCCTTTGTCTGTTGCAGAATCTGGAAACGAGCATTTAAATGCTTGTTCCCAGAAGACTCTGATAAAATGATCGGTCAGAGAATGGGGGTCCTGAAATAGAAGGAAATTCTGAAATGTTGACATCTCCGAGGTGTGACTTGCAAAGGACAAGGCACCATGGAAGATCTGCATATTTAAATTGTTTAAACAGGGCTGCACTGAAAAATCCCAATGGGCTGTCATCACCCATACCTTCTGCACAGGCAGCATCATGTCTGATTCGGCAATATTGAGCACTACCTGCAAATCTAACATCATGTGAGCATCAGCACTTACAACGCAGACATTGACGTTTGCTTTACTCAGCAACAGGGCCATTTTCCTAAACATGTCAATGAACTTATCAACCATGCGTAAAAAATTGCTTTGGAGCGGCATTCGTTCAGAGAAGGCAGTGCAGATTCCATTATCATTAAAGCTTTTCTCCAAGGTCGGCACAAATGTTTCTCCTTTATCGTCATCCATGGCCATGATCCCAATCCACTTCCATTGAAAATGCAGAAAAAGCTTGACTATTCCTGTATACTGATGTGCTTCATTAGGTACCATGCGGTATAAGAAAGACGGGTGGCTTATATCATTCACTGGTGGACTATATAAACAATAGGAGACCTAAAGGCCAACATAATTACATTCATAATAGGGAAATATAAAAATATCTACAAGATGAAGCACTTTTTTATAATGCTAGGTTTTTTCCCTCACATTGTAGCCTTACACCCTCTTCTCCTCACCATTTTAACTTCAGAAAAATGTAGTGTAATGAGAAGGTTTGTGGTCTTCCCATGCTGATGCTCAGTCAATATATTTCATGACAGATTAAAATCTTGCTTCCTCTTTATTTACAACCTATTGTCCTCATACCTTCTACGTACTGTATAATAGAAACTCCAGAACATGCACTTCTTTCCTCATACACTTTTGTATTCTTTCCAGATTCATTTCTCACCTGTCCATTCTTGACCCTATCTCTCATGCTATTAAACACATACTTCTTTAATATTCAATTGTCACTGCGTTCAACTACTGTGTTTCCCCCAAAATAAGACATTGATTTATATTTTTTGAAGCCTGAAATAAGCGCTTGGCCTTATTGCCATGCACTCAAAAGCCCGATTTGTGCTTATTATCATGTCTTATTTTGGGGGAAACAGGGTAACTTTTCTGTTTCTCCTAAGTTACCTAATTCCCACTTCCATAGCAAGGTGAGGAGAAGAACGCAGTAGTTTTTATTTTCTTCTTTAAAAAAAATAGTTAGTTTACAACTCCCACGAGCTGCTCCAATCACAAACTGACTCTATGTAGCATATAGTTTTCTCCCTCCTTAACAAGAGCTAAACCAAACCGAAATAAATAAATGAATAAATGAATAATAAGATACACTATTAGTTCTGCATAAGTGATTCCATATTATCATGTCTTCTTTTATCTGCATTTATACATATTATTTCTTTTATCATCCATTTTCCCATCTCTAGTTAACAACGCATGTTAGTTAGCCAGTGCCAACTAAATCTAACATAACAATTAATATGAAACATTCCTTTTATCAAGCTGTAAATGTTGATTTATCGAGCCCAATCACATAGTTTCATAGCAGAGCATGGTTATTCAGCTAGTATTAAAGATAAACACCAGTTGGCATTGTGAGAATGTAAAACATGAGTCCTGTTGAGAAGGACAAAGTTTTGTCCTTCCAACAAGGAACCCCTTTTATTCATATTATTCATTCATAACTTGTATGATTATATCAAGTTTTATAAACAAATTTACCACACAGCAAATAATGCAATATTTCTTCCTGAAATATCACATTATTATCAAAGAAGAATGAAATTGCATCACATTAATACAAGAAAAAAAAAGTTAAACATATTTTATGGTGCTGGTAACGAGATCTTAAAACTCTTTATACTCCCTGTATTCTCACACTAAACTTAGAAGATGTTATATTATTTCTGTGTGCTTTTGGTACATCACTATAGAGAAAATGTAAACAATAAGATGTAGATAATAACTTTCTTAACAAATGAAAATACTTTCTTAATAAATGGGGATAATAAAGATCTTAATAACTTTTTAAAGTACATCAGCTGTAAGTTAAAGTCCATCCCTCTTAAAGTTATCAAGATTGAGAAACACTGTTATAGATAATAAATTCCTAAACAAATAGAGGTGTAATCCGAGCTTTCGGTGGTGATGTCAGAGCCGAGTGGGTGAGAGTGCTAGGTGCTGTGCTTGAAAACCCAATTAATTCCTGGAAAGGAGCCCTTTAAGGGCATTTCCAAACCTGGAGGGCTTGGGAAACTAAAGGGGAAGGTTTGGAGATTTGGGCGAGATGCTAATGCCCAGAAGAACTAAGCCGGACCCCTTTAATCCAGCGAGATAATAATCTGCCTTTAGGGCAGATCAATAACAATGGCTGCCGCACAGTGAGGAAGTGAAGAGTGTTTACAGCATTGGTGGTCGTGAAGGACTTGGATTCGAAAAAATAGGATTATAAATAAAGAAAATCACATGTGAGAGAGTCGCAGAGAGCAAAGATTGTGGCGATTAAGTAGGAGAGCGCTTAACTCGAGCCGATCAGATGGAGGCAGCATAATAATGAGCAGCGGAAGGAGTAATCAGTAAAGAAGAAACATTGTATCATTTGGACCTGAACCCACTGAGGAGAAAGAAAAAAAAAGGGATTACAATTGGACAGTAAGGAAAACTAAAGTATAAACTGTGGAACTAAAGTGCTAAAGCCTTTTTCTTCTTGATTTCTCTCCAATCTTCCTTCCTAGTTTGTGTCAATTAGTGGATTGAGAAATTGGGCGGACTGAGGAGGGAGAATCTTGGAAAGAATCTTAGAGACGGAGCTGCGGACAGTTGGGGATTTATAAACAATAAACAATAAAAAAAGACAAAGAGTGGATAAAAGAAAAGTGAGAATAAAAAAAAGGACTTAAGATAAAGAAGAGCTGAAAGGATGTTAAGGTGAAGTAGAAGACTCGAAGTGACTAAGTGGAAAGTGGTGGCAGAAACGATCTGAAGCAATAAGAAGTGGAAAGAAGGATATATATATAAAAAGACTGTTTGGAACTTATTATATTTAAAGTATTGATATGAATAGTAATTGAAGAGGGTGAAATACTGTGTGGTGGACAATAGTTTAATATTTGAGAAAATAGAAAATATAGAAAATTTTATCAGGATTATTTGGACTTTAAATTATATATAAAATAAGAATGTAAGAGGAAGAAACATCTTTGTTTTTTGTCCTTTGATATTACTTGATTTCTTTAATTAATTAATAATCTGATTCTGTGGGGGAGGAGGAGGACGAGGTTGAAAAAATTGTTTAAAGAATATCTGAAGGGTAAATTTCCTTTTTGAGTGGTGGTGAATAAGCGGAAGGATTTGATAAAGAAGAATTACTAGTTAAAATTAGAGAAACTTAATTTAGATGATAGAATATTGTTATAAATAAAAAATAAAGCTATAACTTAAATAATAAAATATTTACATATACAGAGATATATAGATATACTGTGAAATAGAATTAATTAAAATAAACCAGAAGAGTGTCTCAAGTTGAACAGCAAATTAGAAAAATAGAAAATACACGTGCATGATTTTGTGGAAGAACTTCACAAGAAGTGGAAAAATGTCAACCACAACAACAGTAACAAAAACTGGAAAAAAACCAGCCTCTAACTTAACCGCCATAGCTTCCCCAGGAACTCAACGGTCAATTGAGAACATGTTAGGAAAGGAAAAAGACAAAGTAGAGCCGACAATGAACAACATGCAAATGATGCTCCAAACGATTCAAGAAATATTAGTGAAGTCGCAAGAAAGAATGGTAGAAAACCAAGAAGAGGCTAGAAAACACCATCAAGAGATTAAGAGCGAAATAGGAGAAGTAAAGGAAGACTTTAAAAATATGAAGGAGAAGATGGAAAACATACAACAAACAATTGCAGAAAATGAACAGAAAATTAAAATTGAAACCAAAATAGACCAACTGGATTATAAATTAGAAAGGGCAGAGCAGAAGACATTGCAACTGAATAAAGAATTATCCGATTCGATAATTCTCCTGGAAATGGAGAAAGCCTCCTTCTTCTTGCGCTTCCAAAACGTTGAGGAGGAGAAAGAGGAAGATTTAGGGGAAAAAATGATAGAAATAATTGCAGAATACAAAGAGATAAATTGGAAATACGAAACACCGTAGACAAAATCTATCGAGTACATAATAATTATATAAGAAGACATCGGCTGGTGCGTGAAGTACATGTAAGATTCATGAAAAAAATAATGAGAGACGAAATCTATAAGAAATCAAGGGAAGAGATGGTTACATATAAAGGGAAGGAAATTATAATATTAAAACAAATCCCACAAAGAATTAGAGAACAAAGACAACACTATCATTTTTTAACATCATATCTCATCAAATATAAAATAATGTTCAGATGGATTATCCCCAAAGGAGTTCTTATTACATGGCAGGACAAAAAGTATAAAGTTGATACGATAGAAAAGGCTCAAGAATTTTATAAAAACTTCTTGGAAGAAGAGCAAGAGAGCAAGGAAGAGAGCAAGGAAGAATTAGAAAGTAAGAGTCAAGAAGAGGATCAGCAAGAAGAGACAGAAAGAGAAAAAGAACTCAAGAAAACTCAAGAAAAAGAAGGAGAAGAAAAAGAAGGAGCAAGAGGAAGAACAAAAAGGGAGACCAGAAACACTAAGAAACAGGCACACTAGGAGATGGAAGAGGCAATATCTATATTTTCTGTAAATATTAATGGGTTAAACGTGCAAAAAAAGGGAAAACAAATATTTACAAAATTAAAAAATGTAAACACTGATGTGATTTGCTTGCAGGAGGTCCATATAAAAATAGGATTTCAAAAATTATTAGAAAATAAGAAATTAGGAAGACTATATGTATCACTATCTAGACAGAATAAATGAGAAATTGCAGTCTATGTGAAGGAAAAAATAAATTCAGAACTAGTTTATGCAGATGAGGATGGAAGTATTTTAATGATAAAATTAAATATGGA